AGTAGAGACTGGCCGTGAGAGACGCGCAATCGATGTGTATAGCAGAAACTGAGGGCGAGTGAGAGACGCGCAATCGATGAGTTTTGTACCCTCCAGTCTCTACTCCCCGCCGCTGCAAACGCTAGCAAAACGCTGGCGAAACGCTGGCGTTACGCTGGTGACGCTGGGAACGCTAGATCGATATCCATCCTCTCCCCGGCACTGCCGCTGGCGTACGCTGGAAGCGCTACGCTACGCTGCCGCAAAGTATAAACGCGTGCGATTCTCAAACTGCCCAACAGCACTGCTGAATCGCAAGACTCGCGAAGTATGAACACATCATAAGCGATGAAAGCGCAGTGCGTGCTTCCTACGAATTGCATGGCGTGGGTATCAAAATGTCCATGACTTTTGAAACCCGCTGTGATTCGTAATAAGGTCCATGCGTAACAGGTGACCTCATCAAGGAAGGAAACAACCAGTACTTACACACAGCCGGCGTATCTGTAGAGCTCGGTTCCCAGTGAGCTGGTAACAAAACAATAATGGTCAGTTAAAAAGTACGCGTTTCGAGATTGATTAACATAAAGGTAGATCTCGATTGAAGGGAGGATGAACGTGAAAGTTCAAGGCCTCACCACGGGATTCTTTGCCAATTCCTCGGCTTCGTATGCAGCTTTTTTCGCCGCTTCTCGACGTAAGATTCGCTCTGAATAAGGCACATTCAAATCAGAAGTTAAATTTAAAATAAGTCAATAGTGAGAAGAGGAACGCACTGTATTCGCCGTTTCTCAACGTCGCTTTCTCAACTTTATGTCGTCCTTCGGGAAGTCGGAGATTTACTGAGATCTGAAAGAAGTTGAATCTGTTGTGATAGAAGTAGACGTATAACACATGTTGTAAGGATGACAAGTCGTACGCTCGAGAGTTCATAGTAGGTCTCCGGAGAGGGAGACGGTCACATTCGGACTGGGAAAATTACCCGATTAGTGGACCTGCTCCGTTCATGGGAGCTGCTTTGCCTCGACTCTGCAACACCGCTGCCTATTCCCTACATTATCAGTCCACGGTGGCAGTTTTTGAACTGGTAGAACATAAGTTGGATGTGAGAGGGAGGAAAGAGAGGTTGTAACGGAAGAAATTCGGGTAGTATTTGGTAAAGTCCTCCCAACGCCAGAATGCTACCCTCACAGTTCAGTTCGCCATTAGCAGATGTATTGAGCTTGTGCATAATCAATATCGCTGCTTATCTAGTAATGGTCTGCAAACTGTTATGGGTTGGGTCATGGGAATTCCGCCTAACTAGACCACACGAGAAGGAACTGCCGGTGTGGATGAGCCCAGGCCTTCGAATACACACTGCGCACCCCACCTACACTCACGTGTGCTCACCTCCGAGGACGTGCACGCTTTTCCAATCGCGGTCCACAGCTGCAGTATCGAGCCTTTTTCTGCGGACCGAAGGGCACGAAAAGGAGCTGCAGTGTAAAGGTCTCCATTGGCACCGGCACCCGACTACAATCTCCACACTATGCTCGCGCTGCCGAACAGCCAGCCACACGCCTAACCACAGCCAAACGCACTACTTGTCTGCACCATCTCACTTCCAGTTGTTCTAGACCTCTTAGCTGCAGGCTTCCGGTATCGACACATGTGCTGTAACTTGGAGATAGCGCGGGCGGAGTCGGGAGACGGCACTGGTATCGCTACCCTGTTGCCCCTCTCCCCTGCACTTTCGAGCGGAAAATGGCACGCTACTGCAAGTGCTGACTCATTCGTCTCGCATACGGCAAGGGCTGAATGAGTTCACAATCAGCCTCCAGAGATTGAATAGGAAATGGCACAAATAAAGATATAGGTTAAACGCGGAAGTCGTACCTTCAGTAATCCACTGTTCGCTACAATACAGTCGATGATCTCCTTTTCAGCAAGTGTTGCAAATGAAACACCCTTAAATAGAAACTCAAAGTAATGGAAAGAATTAGTGAGGCAACACAGAGAGAAGTGAAAAGAAGTAGTTTGATCATTCGATACCTCATAGTCCTCTGCTTCTGCAGTGTACTTTGCCAGAACAGAAGGGTTTGCGGTATTTTTGCCAACAAGAAAGCAGCTAACACTCACCTGATTAACAGCTTTGACTTCTTCGAGCGTTTGATTGACAAGTGCCGCTCGGAAAAGTTTTGCGAAAAAGTCTCCGCTCAAATAGTTTGTCTCCAGATTTAATTTTCGCAAGGCAGTGTTCATCTCAATTACTGGCAGTAATGTCTGAAGAAACAGATAATAAATATGTTTGAAAATTTCAGCAAAATGGAAACAGAATCCGATTAGGGAAACGATGAAGTCTGTGTCCATTCAGTGCTATGAACATTGCAAGGTTGAATAATGGAGGCATTGGCATATTTAAAACGCTGCTCATGGAAACATGAATCTTGTGCATAAAGTACGCTTTTGGAGATCCTTTGAAATGACAACCTATCCAACAAGAGCATTAAAGGCACGGTTTGCGCTAATAAAAGCCTAGGTGATGTTGCAGAAATGTGGAAGAAAATTCGCCAAGTGAACCGTTTATGAAAAGAAAAGCCGAAGGAAACGTTGGAATTGCATTCGTCAAACCTCCTCTAGCCTCAGGCAACTGTAGAGGTAAAATACCGAAGAGACCGCTGCGGACGAATCCCGTCGGCTGATTCCCAGTAATGAACTTAATGCCTCTACAAGAAGATACTGAATGCCATTGATTCACTTGCCCCGGCCGAGCATTACATTCGGCTGGAAGGCCGGCTTTGAAGGCGGAGTCTGGAGGCGGAGTCACTGGAAAAAGGGATGTACCACTGAAGCAAGTTTGCGCTTTAATCCTTTACTGTACAACTTTCCGCCGCGAAACTGGCACAGGGTTGTCCACTCCGGACCGCACTACCTTCCCACATAACCACTTGCATTTTCATAGTCTGCCAGACCGCTCCTTTAAATTAACGAATACCTAATCAAGCTGAAGCACTGTAGGCGTCCTTTCCTCAGGAAGGGGAGGAGTGAGTTTGGTGTTTGAGTAGTTCGCTAGTTTCTCCAGTTTTTTTTTCGCTTTGGTGAAACCTGTAACTTTCGCTAACTTTCGCAAAGCTGCGAAATGGTATTTGCTGCAGGCTGTATTGTCTTCACAAGAGAAAGGTCTTCGAGTCGATGGAAATTTCTATGACCTCGTCCCCTCCCGTGGAGAACAGTACTGAAGTTGCGCCAGGTGGAAGAACTGTAAAGGGATCACGCTGGAACAGTTCATAGTTCGCAAGGAGCCCAAGGCTACAAAAGTCGTAGTGGTAGTAGCCGGGGAAGGAATAACACTGACTCAAGAGAAATGTGAATGAAAGCTTTCAAAATATGCTTTCTGCTCGCCCTTTAAGCTACTGGATGAGTGATATGGTTCAAATGTCTGCAGCTGATCAATGAATAAATTACTTACTGCAACATCATTGTCATAAAGACCCATATTCGCTAGTGACAATCGTTCACAATGTTCATTATAAGCCAATGCTTCGAGTAGCCGTCGAATTTGTGGAATAGGCGTTCGCTGAAATGGAGGAAATTGCTTTACTATGGAAATTTTGGATAGGATAGCTGGCTTTTAGTGAAAATTGTAAAAATTTATAATTTCGATTAAGTCCTGGCGAATGCTGTACTCTGCTTACTTGTCAAGCAGGGCACACTGGTTGGGGATTTTAGTCCAGTCCTTACGACCTGCCCCCTTCAACCTTCCTGAGGCGAGAAAAATCAACTATCAAAATAAATTCTTCTCAGCCCAAATACGACTCCCCTCCCTGGCGGCCATATACGACCCCCCCCCTGTTGGGGATTCCCCCAACAACGACGTGCCTTGGGTCGAAGGCTACGATGCTCAACGAACCAGTGGCTATTGAATATTAACCTGGTAGTTTGGTACTACAAATGCGATCAGGTAGACCACAGTTTCTGTATTTCGGGTTCCTACAAGTCATCGATAATTGAGGTCACCATCAAGCTGCGAAAGGGACATCTCACCATAGGGCGATAAACATGGAGACACCCCGGTTCACCCCGATTTTAGAAAAGGCCGTTTCTCTGTCCCTCCTTCTCACCTTCATATTGTTCATGTTGACTTCTTTGAGGGTGGGATCGTTGTCGAGAAGTCGTTGTACGCACTGCTCGACGTCGGTGTCATTGTCTGGTTCCGTGGGTCTGGTCTGCTCTGGCAAACTGCTCTTCACCGGAGAGTTTCCGGTATCGCTCAGGATACGCTCAGCCTCCTCCCATGATATGATACGATTCTCGTTCATCGCCTCTGAAAAATTGGTGGTAAACAGACTAAATAAGAAAAGTCATAAGGAAGATTCCGGAGAACATTTTCCTCACTTAGCAATTCTCCGATGTCTGTATCGCTCTGGCCCACTTCGGCCATCTCTTCGATGGCCTTGACGAAATCCTCGTCTGTCATGATTTCCTCGGGGCGGAGGGCCCCCGGCGTACGCGGCGTTACGGGCCCGTCCTCCGACATCTGTAAGCTGGTAGCTGAACCAGATTGGTCTTCAGCATCGCTCGTCGGCTCGAAGTCAAACATCGAGACAAGTCTCTCAGTTTATGGCGTGACTAGGATGTATAGATTGCTTTAAAATAACGCGAACACGACGAAATGACGAAGTGGTCGTATGGAAGTAGAAGATGATGAAGTGCAAGAACAGATTTATGCAAGAGGAAAAGGCTAGTGGAAACTCACCTCGTCAAATGATATTTCTTAGAGAAGGAATAAGCGGCCAATAAAATACACTTGTGAACACTAAAGATTAGAAGCAGCTTTATTTCCTCCTTCTCATCAGTCTCGTTTCTTCACTAAGATGAGGGAGATGTCGAAGTAAAGATGGATGAGAGGTAATCAGCATGTTCCCACTCTATATAAGGGATGCTTCGGAGGAGGGAGGGAACGTGAAACCTACTCTTTCGCTAAAGTTGTCCACTACAATACCGCTCCTAATTTGTGGTCAATCGACGGTTTGCGACAGATTTTTCCGTCGCAAACCGTCGTTTTGCCATAACTTCTGTAGAAGAGGTCCAAAT